TTAATTCTATTCAATTCTTATATATGTGAAACTAGTTTTCTATCAGACCACACTGTGATAAAAACTAAATTACTCACGAAAACCATGTGCCCTGAGAGCAATGAATTTGAAATAAACGCAATTTGATTCCAAATTGTGATAAAATGTCCAATCACCAAATGGTTAAATAAATTATTACTAAACGAAGGTAGCATTTTAGTATTCATCCATTTAACTACGTTGATTCATTTGTATTATTTGGAATTTTATATGTGTCTTTTACCTAATAGTTTAATTAAAATAAAAATTGAGGAAAATACAGGAGAGTGTTCACATATTTTTGAAATGATTTGAAACATATATTATATATATAATCGGAAAACAGTGTATGTGTGATATTTCCTAATATGTTCAATCTGATAGCCCCACTTTGTTAAACTATCATATTACATTTTGATTTCCAAGATAAAAGAGTAGTAAAATCGCAGAATAGGAGCTGTTGGGATTTGGCGTCAAGAAATCTTTTCTCCAAAGTGCGCCAAATAACGGGTTACAATTGTAATTGATGGAATTGCAAACAGTACAAGAAACACGGATTACCACATTTGGCGTCTTTAGCACCTAATTGGCGTCGCAAAAAAGTCGCCAAATCCCAACGGTCTCTATTTTGCGATTTTTTGGCCAAAAAGAGCTTTTCTTAAAATATTCAAAGTTGATTTTATTTCACTCCTCCACAATCAATCAAAGTCCATCCAATATTTTGGGATGCCGCTTATGCAGAGATTTTTAAAAGTAAAAATTTGGAGTAATTCATAGTCGGGGGGACTTGGGTGGAGTGCATTTATATAGAATAACCTCAGTTTCGGTTTTCCTTTCTCATTTTTCCAAATATGGAGCAGTAGATTTATAGATACGAGTGGTAGCCTAATTCTAAAGAAAACTTCTAACACAGTGAATATTGTTTAGGTAAAAGTGATGGAATATCTTCTTTTAAAATAGATGTTAAAACGGATTTTTGATAGTAATCCCGAGTTAATTCTGACATTTTTCTACATTCATTTATATTAAATTATTAATTATAAGACAATACAGTAATAATCCTTGAAACCTTTTTAGCAACACTTTTTCTAGCTTTCTTTTTATATATCTATATTTTATGGGTTTTTCTCCTCTTTTTTTGGTAGTTAATCGATCTTTTCCCAATATATTTGGATAAATAAATCCAAGCCCCCTCACTTGTAACTACATATTTATATTTTTCACCAGCCGAATTATTAACTTTATTAAACAATTTGCGAATAGTCTTAGGCTAGAGAAACCTGTTTTGGCCTTAGTTGACAACATCATGCTTTTTTGTTTTCATTAGCTTGAAATTAGATTTTATAATTTTGTTTACAGTTTCTATAGAGACGTATAAAGATTTTGCAATAATTTTTTGGGGGATCGGAATGTATTTTCAAAAACATAAAATGTACTTTAGTAACAAAAATAGTTGTACGCACCTTTGTTTAGTATTCCTTTTTTGTCCCAGCTAATTTTTTACATTTCTTTACTTTTTAAATAAATTATGTCACTTATTTTACGCATAGAAATATTAAAATAAATTTTCTTTACTTTATTAATAAATATATCACTTAATTTTAGTGTAGGAATATTAAAATCATGCTTTTCGTATCTCTTTTTAATAAATCGAATAAAAAGTATTTTTCCATGTAAAAAACGAAAATATAGTCTTTAATACATAGCTTATTTTTTAAGGCGTATCAAAGTAAGAATATTTTTTTAATGATGCAGATGACAATTAAACCATATTCCAAATTGATGCCCTTCAGATGTTTTTATATGCTCTAATTTAAATTTAATTCATGGAGAAAATCAAAAATCTGTAAATACTCTCTATTGTAGAATCTCTAATTCTTTTTCATCATTAAACATCAGATGTTTTAAATGACATCATGCATCATTTGTTAATTTGATTCTAAAAATTTTTTCTTTACTCATAATTAAAGTGTTTAAAATCGGGTTACAAAAAAAATTGCATTTAAATGAAAAACGATAAATAAGTAGCAAACATTTAATATATTATAAGAAAAAATTACTAAATATTTGAATGTTATACGTCATCTATGTTATTAGTGGCCTCCTTTTTATTTTCAAAACATGTAATATCAGAAAAAAAGCCTTCTTTAAGTTATAATGTTCTTAACTTAAGATTAGTAGAAAAAAAAACTTTATTAAAAAAATAAACATATAAACTTTTTAAAATAAAAATAAATAAAACTTTTTATTAAAAATATAAAAATAATATATATTTAAATAATGGGCCGACCCAATGTGCAGCTTACCCATAAAATTACAGATACATAGTTGTAAAAAGTATAATATAAAAGTTTTTTTTTTTTTTTATCAAGGAAGAAATATTTTTAAAAGAAATTTGTAAAACCTCTTTGAAAATCAATAAATTTTGAAGTAAAATTTTCGATACTGTATTTCGAAGTTTACGATATTGAATTTCGAATTTAATGTAAGAACAAAACGCATAACAATATTCTAAAAATAATAAAGTTATAGAATTCCAAGCAATTTATAAAAAAAAAAAAAATTTCATTTAAAAATTTAAAAGAAAAAAAAAATTACAGATTTCAGTGAAAATGGCCAAAATTGAAAGTAATCAATGACACAATAAATTCTCAAAATAACATTCATGTATTTTATGGTTAAAACATGTCAACATAAAATGAACATATTGTTTCAAAATAGTAAATTTAATTTTTAAAATAATTTTTATGTAAATATTAATAAATGAAATATTTATGCGAAAAATTTGAGAAATAATAACATATATTGCTACAAAATTCTAACTTATATTTTTTTCTCGAAATTCAAATTTAAAGAAATTAAAATATAAAAAAAACATACCATTCATGGAAGAATACTTTTTAAAAGAAATCTGTAAATCTCTTTGAAAATCAATAAATCTTGAAGAAGATATTTAATTTAGATATTAAATTTCAATTTAATGTAAGAACAAAACGCATAACAGCAATTTTTAAAAAATAAAATAAACTGTGGAATCCCAAACGATTTTCTTTTCTTGAAAATCTAATTTTCATTTTGAAATAAAAATTTTCTTTGTTTTTCAAACGATCTTTTTAGAACAATTTTACATTTATTTTCTTCTCAATTAATTTTTTTTCAAATTATTTAATAATTACTCATTTTATTTTGTTTAAGTTTTTTGTTTTAATTAGATGTTTTGTGTAATTAAAAAACATATATTATTACAATAAATGCCATTTTCAGTTTAATATCTGATTAATGACCTGTTTTAAAAATTGCAATTTTCTTTTTGTTCAAAATTGATTCGCAGTTATTTTCTCAAATAAAAAAATTAAAAAAAAAAAAAAAAAACATTTCAGTAAAAACAAAACGCACAACAGCAATCTTAAAAAATAAAAAAATTATAAATTCAAATTTTTTTTTCTTGAAATATCTTATTTTCACTTTGAAATCACATTGTCTTTTCTTTCACCAGACGATTTTTTAGAACTATTTTACATTATTTAATTAATTAATTATATAATTTTTTACACGTGATAAATAAATCAATAAGAACAACTCGTGTGAGAAATTTGAAAAGGAGATAATAAACCAATAAGAAGCCTACAAGTGGTCAAGGAAACGAAAAACTGATCAAGAACACGGAAAAAGTGACCAAGGAAACGAAATACTCCGCTACCTAAAACATTACCCATAATTTTATGAGTTAAACAAAACCCGTCGTTACCTGTTTACGAAAGAAAAGAATTTTTTTTAATGTTTTTAGATTCTAGATTTTGAATTTTCTTTATGAATTAATATTTAGTTATTCTAAAATTCACCATAATTGAAGATTGTGGCCTTCGAACGTTTTTTTTTTAACCCATTCTTTAAACAATTCATTTGTGTGAATTGATTTGAAACTCTGAACATTTTTGTCAAAATTAAAAAAAAAAAATTAAAGGCGCTTCATTCCGACAGAATCAAAAAATCTGATTTCGAAACATCAAAAATCTAATAGCTATGAATAATGATAATGAATAGAAACAATATATTTGATTTATTATTTTCATAATAAACAATTTTTCTTTGATATAAAAATTTGTATGCATTTTCTAAGCATCTGGAATTAACTTTCTTGTGTGTTCATCTGTACTATTTCTTAGTTTCTTAAAACTTATGTACCTTATGTACTTTCGTAAAACTTATGTATTAAATATCAATGCTTTTCACAACTTAACTACCGAAAGATTATTTTCAGTTATAATCCACTATTTGAAAGAAATATTTGCTATAAATAGTGGAATTAATTCTATTTTTAAAAAAAAAATAGCTTTAAATATATTAAGGTATTAAACGAATAAAATAATAAAACGTTTAAAACCACTCTGGAATGTCTGTTTCAACAGTTTAGAATGTTCAGACTTATTAACTGTAAAGTTTACAATGTGATTGAAAAGGTATATTATTATATCCTTTAGGTCATTATGCGTAAGACAATTCCGATTTTTTTTTTTTTTAAATTGAAATGAAAGAATTAATATAGGACAGTTTTATTTAATTTGGAAAATATACTATCTCACTGTATAAAAACTGTATCATTATAGATTTGATGTTCGCATTTTTTATGCATTTCCATACACTTTTCATGCATTAAAAGTAAATAATGAAACAATTAAAACATTATATAAAACAATTCTTTTTTCATTATTTGGGTATTTAGTATTCTTATAATGTATACCCCAAATAGTCAGCCCACAAACGGGCGGTGAGGATAGAACTTTTCAACAGATTAAAATACAGAATCTTCTTCTTGCCCCATGTTGGGCCAAACAGCCCCAATGTTGCGCAACAGCCCCATGGTGGGCCAAAGCCGTCTGCCTACTGGCAGATTACGAGACAAGATATATTTACGGGGTAGGGTTGTCAGCCCTACGCACAACGCTCTACAGTCATATTAGACTGAGACCTACGGTTCGACATGCTGAATATACCGGTTCTCGTTAGATCACCGAAGTCAAGCATCATTGGGCGCGGTCAGTACTTGGGTGGGTGACCACCTGGGAACACCGCGTGCCGTTGGCATTCACAAATTTGGGACCTGAATGGCCGAGTGTCTAGCGCGCTCGGTGCCACAGGCTTCGGGTTCGAATCCCGGCGGTGCCATGGATGTTTGTAGTGGTTCGAATCCACTTTAAGCCGTAGGTCCCGGTCTCCTATGATGACTGTAAAAACGTCACGGAGCAGAAGTCAGACTTCTACCTACGGGTGCTCCATCAGAACAGAAGCTGCACCTCCTCCCTCCTTCCATGAGGGACACGACAACAACAACAACCTACGGTTTAAAGTGGATTCCGAACCACTACAATCATCCAGGGTACCGCTGTGACTCGAGCGTGCCTATGGCACCGAGCACCAGAGCGTTCATCACTCGGCCATCAGGCTCCAAATTACAGATTAAGCAGATTATAAACACAGATTTAAAAATGTAATGTTTGTAATGTATCGAAAAAAATTGATGAGAATAATAGAGATGAAGATGGAAATATTACAATTTTTGATCCATTATTGTTATAATGAATACTTTCTTTACAAGAAGAGACCACGAACTGTCTATCACTGATTTGATTGAAATTCATACTATGACTAGAAAGACTAGATTGCCTTAGAAAGAATAGAAAGTTAATTCCCAAAGTAGTAGGACTTAACTCTCAATGATTTTCGACACCAGGTTTGAAAAACATAACCGTTTAGGCATAGTTAAAATTACATATCGTTAAAATGGTTTGGAGACAAGAGATATTATGGTTATAGGAGTTAACATTGTGAGTACTGTATTCAGAGGTGTTTCCTTTCCCTTCATTTTAATTATTTACAATACATTCACTATAAATAATACAGCAAATTACATAAACTAATAAGTACAGTATTTTTTTTACTACAGACATTTTTTTTATATACTTTCGTCTCCCATTTATACAGTTTATTCATTCAATTCCTTCTATTAGCTCACACTCTCCCTATATATATCTTGTTCAAATTTTCAATCGTTCATAAAATACTTTTTATTCATCCACTCAAGTTCAAATACATTTTGTTTGAACTTGTAGTGGATGACACTGATGTTAATACAGTTTTTCAAATATTAATTCAGTAATTAAATTTATTTAATTAATTTTAGTTTTTTTTTTAGATTTAAGTTGCATATATCTACCAACAGATGGTGCCAGATAAACTTAAAAAAAATGAATGAAAATTATTTATAAAGGACTTTCTGCAACATAGTGAAAAAAAAAAGTAGGAATTGACTTAAAAATAAGTTTTTTTTTTTTTATACTAATTGTTATTTATCTTATGAAAACCTTGTAAAAAGTTAATGTTTTATTAATTTTATTTTTCAGCAAAAAAAAAAAAAAGAAAAAAAAAAAAAAAAGCTCATGATTGTAGCAGTTTGAAGAAATCTGGTAAAAATATTCTACAAAAACAGAAAATTTTATTTGGAATAGGTTCATGATATTTTATATAAACCGAAAAAGTTAGTAATTCTATTTGGAACGATTTACTTGCGAGGAATTCGTAAACAAAATTTACAAAAATGGAAACATGGGGGGGAAAGAAAAGTTAAGGAACATAAAAATATCGAATGAGAAAATTGATAAGCCAGTATCTTTAGGGGATAAAAAAGAATAAAGTGAACGATTTTTATAAATGTGAGCAAAGCTTATTTCCAGTTGATGCACCCATAATCTCTTTTAAAATATCTACAGAAACTCGATATTCATAAAGTTTTCTAGATGGCGTGAAACATATTCATCCCTATTTTATTTTTTCCCCTTGATGGACAGCACATCTAGACCAAGTCCAAGAACCCGTGTAGTATCATGGAAAGAGAGAAAAGGTTCGAAGTGATAAAGCACCCGTAGATTGAAGTCTGACTTGATTTCGTGACGCTGAAGAAGGAGGGCAGTGCACTTTTTTTTACTTTTAGGGACCCTTAGGGGGACTACCTCGCATTTGCATATCGTATGTGATAAAACCCGGAAAACTCCCACCAGGTAATCTGAATAACGAGGTCAGATGTTGAACATTATCAAACGTCATCGAGTCTCCTCAGTTTTTTGAAACAATGTCTACAACAAAGCTGTCATCGGATGGAACGTCCTAATGCTCATTGCCACTGAGACACGATTAAACTAACATTGATTCCCTTATTTTTACTATGGATATCAACCTGACTTTTACAGAAATTTTTTTTTTCCATCAATTTCAAAAAATAAATTTTCATATTTCTAGTATTCAATTGCTGTATCAAACAGATTTCTAGTATGCTGTATTTTTTTTTCAAAAAAATACTTATTTGGAAAAATAACATGTGAGGACAGTGATAATGTAATTTACAACATTATTGACATCGATTGTTAATTTTAAAACGAAAGTACGCTTTCTGATTCGATAGATCAATCTATATGTGTTTCTAAAAGAAAATGCTTGTTAATTTTGAAGCAATACTTGTAATGAGTGCAAAGCAAGAATTTTTAAAAAACATCTAGAAAAAACAGCATCCACAAAATGCTGACTCGAGACATTAACCATTAGAATGAGATTGCATGCCGAGAAAACACTTTAACGATATAAAAATGTTCACACCATCATCATTGGCGCAACAGTCCCATGGTGGGCCAAGGCCCAACTAATGGCAGATTTCGAGACAGGAGAAATTTTCTTTTCACGAGGTAGGATTCTCAGCCCAACGCTTTACAGTTATATTAGACCGGAACCTACTATTTAAAGTGGATTCCGAACCACTAAAACAATTATGGCGTCGCTGGGATTCGAACTCGAAACCTGTGGCACCGAGTGCTAGCCACTCGGCCATAAGGCCTCAAAAATTTTTACGTTTTTCAAATTTGATTTTCTCGGAATTCATTGAGCGGTAGGTTTAACCACTTTGACCAATTAACATCTAAATCATGAAACCACGTGTAATATAAATTTTAATCAAATCGATGATGGATAATTCATGACCTTGTCTTGTTAGAAAATGATTTTTAAAACTTCTAACTATAACTCATATTTGCGTGTTGTATGAGAGAAAACCCTGAAAACTTCAATCATACAGCTGGACTGTCAATTCGAGACTCGATGTCATCACCATCGCCATCAAATTCCTTCACTTCTGAAAGCAGTGGCTACTACTCCGGCAATTGATTCGCTTTTGTTTTCTTTTATTCGTTGCACTATTACTTAACCACGAATCAGACCTTAAAATAAATTTGGAATTTAAAAATAAAAGCGGCCTTTTTGTTTCACTGTGGCCATTTTACCTTTTGTTATGCCAGACAGCGTTCATTAATGTAAAATAGCAAAAGGCTAAAGCAAATAAATAAAACAACCAAAAAAAATATGCAAAAACATACAATAATAATTTGATGTGTTACTCAAAAAACATTTATTTAATTGGTCAAAAGAATCAATAAACTTTTATTGCGCAAAATTACTCACAAACCAATATGAATCCTTTTTTTCTCTTCTTGGCGTTGGACATGATTGCATTAATAGAGAGGCTTCCGTTATCGAGAATCAGGAAACTCCAATTAAAAACCCATTCTGCAAATGGCTAAACCCATGAGAGGAGGACTAACCATGCTGAATAAGAGAAAGATGATTCTCTGTGGTAATGAATACACATTTATTTATTGTTTCATTTTGACGGTTCTTTTTATTCTTTATTCGGTTATTATTATTTTTGATGATTTGTTCATTTTTTTCTTGGCAGTCTTTTATTACTGATTATATAAGTATGTTCGAATTACATTCTCTGTGTGAAATTTCATTTCCTATATGAAGCATAAATATTAAAAAATATGACTGTTGGGGTTTGGCGACTTTTTTTGTGGCGCCAACTGGGCGATAAGTTTCTACATGTGGTAACCAGTGTTTCTTGTACTATTTGCAATTCACTTCACTTAAAATCGCAACCCGTTACTTGGCGCTCTTTGGCGAAAAGATTTTTTGACGCCAAATCCCGACGGCCCTTATTTTGTGATTTTTAATTATAACAAAAACAAGGAAACCTTCAAATAAAAATGATAAAAACAATAAAATTATTTTAAAATGAGTAGCAGATTATTTAAAAAAATAAACAATTAATAAAAAAAATTAAAAAATAATATAATAACTAGTATTCAGATAAGTTTATGAAGAAAAAGAAAACAAATGATGTATAAAAAGTAATTTTTAAATCTCAAAATATAATCGCTTTTAATAACACACACGCATAAAAATTTTTTTAAGAAAACGGAAACCTTTTTTTTCCCCCTGCAGAATTAAAAAAAAAAAAAAATACAGAAGTAATTATTTTTTGTAATGATCGATTAAATTTTACTAAAACATTACGTTATATAATTTTTTTTTTATATGTGTTATTCTTTCTGTATTCTCAATGAATTTTAAAACTTTCAAAAAATTTACAACGTAGTAGATCTATTTTCTTTTACTACTTTTTTTGTTATATTATAAAATTCTGCAGATAAAAAATGATTTCCATATGATTGTGAATATTTTTAATACAATGGATTATAAAAACCAGACTGCTCCAGTCCATTAATTCTTTATTTTTTAATTTTGTGTTGACTAAACTTGACATCTGATATCTTTAAAATCGAAAAAATTTGTGACAAGAAAAGCCACCGACATCTTCGTGTACAAAGCGTCTCTCCTCGATAGCCGGATTGACTGGTGGGGTTTTTTTCTCACACTGGACATACTATGTAGAACATAAGGCCCTTGGTGTATAAAAATAAATAAATAATAAATAATAATAATATTCCATAAACTAGATCGAATCCAAAAGGTTGTTTTTTTTCCCCACTTCCTTTTTTTTGTCAAAAACGTTTTGCATAAGTATTCCTTTATGGCCATGAATGAATTTACAGTTGTTGCTTTAATCATAAAAATTTTACTTATTTTAAATACAAGCATAAATATTGAGATACCATTATTAAAAAATGATGTAATTGAAATCATAATTTCTTCTTTATGTTTAATTTTTTTCTTTATGAATCAAATTTTTAAATGTAAA